AAAAAAAAAAACCTGGCTGGTATGGCTCAGTGGTTCAGCACTGATTCATTTCACCAAGAGGTCACCGGTTCAGTTCCCAGTCATTGCATATGCCTGGTGGGGGGACATACAGGAGGCAGTCGATAGATGTTTTGTTTTGTTTTTTAAATATATTTTATTGATTTTTCACAGAGAGGAAGGGAGAGAGAGAGAGAGTTAGAAACATCGATGAGAGAGAAACATCGATCAGCTGCCTCCTGCACATCCCCCACTGGAGATGTGCCCGCAACCCAGGTACATGCCCTTGACCGGAATCGAACCCGGGACCCCCCAGTCCGCAGGTCGACGCTCTATCCACTGAGCCAAACCGGTTTCGGCGATGTTTTTTCTCATTGATGTTTCTCTCCCTCTCCCTCTCTAAAAATTAATAAAAAACCTTAAACAGATGCAAACAGATTCTGGAGGTTTTCATAGAGGACTTGAGGACTCTTAAGAATATGTCTTTGGTTTGAGAAATAGTATCATAAGTTATCATTTCCCCAATAACACTTTTCATAATAGCAATGTTATAATGATGAGGCATTTGACAGCTTGGAGTAATGAAAGCCTGTGTATATACAGGATGGTGCAAAAGTAGGTTTACAGTTGTTTGAATGGAAAATCTATATCTAAAAGCCTAAGTGTCCGTTCTACTGTTGTCCGGTAGTTATGACACGCACTGACCACCAGGGGGCAGACGCTCAATGCAGGAGCTGCCATGATGCACACTGGCCATTTAAAAAGAAATGGTACCGTGGACCTGGTGCGACAAATGAACACTCAGCTTCCCCCAAGTAGGACTTAAGTCCCGCCACCACCCCGGAGTGACAGCCTACCAAATTGCAGCCAACGCTGCCAAGACCCCCATTGCTCAAAATGCTACCCACAGCCCAGCCCAGCCCAGCCCGGAGATGGTCACTGTGGGCACCGGGTAATGACTTCACGTAGCAGTGTCCGGCTTCCTCCTCTTGGTTTGGCTCAGTAATAGAAAGGGTCCTGGGTTTGATTCCAGTCAAGGGCATGTACCTTGCTTGCAGGCCCATCCCCAATAGGGGTGTGCAGGAGGCAGCTGATCGATGTTTCTCTCTCATTGATGTTTCTAACTCTTTTTCCCTCTCCCTTCCTCTCTGTAAAAAACCAATAAAAATAGAGGAAGGGAGAGGGATAGAGAGTTAGAAGATAAAGAGTTAAAAACATCTATCAGCTGCCTCTTGCACATCTCCTACTGGGGATGTGCCCGCAACCCAGGTACATGCCCTTGACCGGAATCGAACCTGGGACCTTTCAGTCCGCAGGCCGACGCTCTATCCACTGAGCCAAACTGGTTTCGGTGCAAGTTTATTCTATATATATAAAAGGCTAAGTTAACTTGTGCATGCGAGATACATATAAAACTCTTGCTGGTGCCAATTGCATGCATGTGTTACTGTCATTGTCGATCATGAATTTGGTTGACATTTCTATTATAGAGAAAGGGCAAATAGTGTTATTAAAATATTTCTTCTAATTCCTTTTATTTTTTAAATATATTTTACTGATTTTTTACAGAGAGGAAGCATCAATGAGAGAGAAACATGGATCAGCTGCCTCCTGAACACCCCCTACTGGGGATGTGCACGCAACCAAGGTACATGCCCTTGACCAGAATTGAACCCGGGACCTTTGAGTCCGCAGGCCGATACTCTATCCACTGAGCCAAACCGGCCAGGGCTAATTAATTTCCTTTTAATGTGCACGAATCCGTGCATGGGGACACTAGTAATACAATAATTAATAACTCAAAAATAAACTACGTGTTTTGTGTACTCACAACTGTAAATCTACTCTTGCCCCATCCTGTACTGTGCAGGTTTAAGTTTTATTTACTTTTTTAAAAATATTATTTTACTCTGCCCTGTTTTTGGGAGGGAGTATGCCCGATTTCTTTTGAAACAGCCTATATTTTATTTAATACCCAGATTTACCTTTCTTTATAATCCTTAGTAAATCTTTGTCTTAAAATGTTTTTAATTGTAAAAGCAGTATATGCACATGGTAAAGAAACACAGTATGTAGAGTAGTATACTTCATCTCTAATTCTACTTCCACAGTTAACCAGTTTAACTTGTTCTGACAGTTTCTACCTCTTACCAGTATGTATACTGTATTTGTTTCTTGCTATTCACTTCAGTGTCTGTTGACTCCTGATATGAATTTGACTCAATGAGAAGTATTTGAGATCTTCATATGGTCCTGAATTTATTTATGTTAACTTAGGGATCGAGGACTGAGTATCCAAAGCTTACTTAATTAGTGTCTCAGCTAAATGCACACGTTAACAATAACGTGTTCAAGAGAAAACAAATGTAAAATAAAAGCAAGAGGTTAAGTGAGGTGAAAATTTGAGTAATTTCATAGAAAATACACAGGTGATTTAAGTAGGTCTCTTTCTGTATATATGTGCTCAGGCTGTATTAGGGAAGAAAGTAACTTCCTTAACACTATGTATACTCTTCAGTCATTGTCCGTTTTTGCTGCCTCAAGGCGAAGATGTGGAAAAAGTTTTGGATGAATGGAAGGAGTATAAAATGGGAGTACCAACATATGGTGCAATTATTCTTGATGAGACACTTGAAAATGTGAGTGTAATAAAATGAAAGATTTTTAGTGAAAAGAATATAATTTTTATAAATGTTTGAAATTGGTTTTTAAAAAATATATTAGATTTTTAGTGCTAAAAGGTCAGATTTTGCAAATTTTGTCTGCATTCTGTCTTAATATTTTATACTTGTTACAGTATGGCTTATTACAAAGAAGTGCCCTTTCATTGTTGAAATACTTTAAAATGGGCAGAATGCCTTTCTTCATGCTAGTAGTATATCCAGAATCATGGGAGATAATTAAAAGCAAGTACTGTATCAAATTACTGGTGATAACAGTTACCTGAAGGAAGGAGAAAAACACCTTTGCTTTTAGAAAGGAGCATGGGAAAGCAAGACAAGTTTTATTTCTATCTCTGCTTGTTCTGTAGGTACTACTGGTTCAGGGATACCTAGCAAAATCGGGCTGGGGATTTCCAAAAGGAAAAGTAAATAAAGAAGAAGCTCCTCATGATTGTGCTGCTAGAGAGGTGAGTTACAACTGTTGCTGCTTTTGTTCACATCTCTCTGTCATTTACTCTTACTTGTTTCTATTTTCTTTCATTGTCTGTTATCTCTGTAACTCTTGTGGGGGCGGATATGATTTCTTCTTTCCTTTTAGAATTGGATTTGCAATTAGTAAAACATTTTGGTTCAATTTGTCTTTTTTTTTTTTTATCTTGGCTTTCAGACAAGGCACAATTTGAGCTTTTCTAAGAAATTGACATTTGTTGTTCAAAATCCACTCTAGCTTCCCACTACCTATAGGATAAAGTTTAATTCTTTAAGTATTGTCACTCCTTCCCTTACTCCAACACAAAACTTAGCCTTCCTAAATTTGTTTTTATTACAGTCAAAAGAATTTATTGTCTGTCCCTTGAATTTGACTGGTTTGTCTCAGCCTTAAACTTCTGCTTATATTTTTTTCCTACCTCTCTTCTTCCCGACGTTTCAAATCCTATCTCGGTACCTTTCTAGACCCGGCTCAATTTATCCCTTTTTTTTTTTTTTTTTCTGAAGTACTGTCACCAACTAGTTCTATACCCAGGAACTAACCTTTTTTTTTTTTCAAATATAGTTTATTGATTTTTTACAGAGAGGAAGGGAGAGGGATAGAGATTTAGAAACATTGATGAGAGAGAAACATCGATTAGCTGCCTCCTGCACACCTCCTACTGGGGATGTGCCCACAACCAAGGTACATGCCCTTGAGCGGAATCGAACCTGGGACCTTTCAGGCCACAGGCCGACGCTCTATCTGCTGAGCCAAACCGGTTAGGGCGAGGAACTGACCTTTTTATTTGTAAGATGAGGTTTAGCATGGATAGTTTCTAAAGTTTATTCTTACTTAAAATTCTCTTTTTAAATCTAACGAGTCAGCTCTATCTCACAGTAGTCTCTGAACTATAATAGCACTTGTCTTTATCTTTTGCTTGGCATTAGTTATGTAGTGCCTTGTGACAGATTGTGTACTGTGTTCTTATCAATTCCTTATTATTTATGATCATTATTATTTTTGATTCAGTATTTTCCTGCATCACTGTTCATGTCCTGGTTTAAGTTTGGGTATAATTATTTGTGAGGGATACTAGTTAAGATTTTTATAAACCACCAGTAATTATTTATCATACAAAAATCATCAGTGGTTATTTACTTTCGAGTAGGATGTGACAAACAATTAAAAATGCTACATTTTAAATTCATCATGAAATAGCTTATTTAAGCAAGTATTTGCAACAGCTTATAGACAAAGCCGTTATATACAAGTAAATGAAGGATTATGCACACCCCTTGAAAAATTGAAAGCTGTTTAGGAAGCAGGTGAGGAATTGCCACATTCCTTCTTGTTTCTGTGTGTGTGTGTGTGTGTGTGTGTTATGTGCTATTGAGTTGGCTCTAGCTCTTGACGACTCAGAATGATCGACATGTACAATGTTCTGTCCTCAACAGCCTTGCTCAGCTCCGGAAGACTTATTCTGATGGCTTCTTTTATGGAGTCAGTCCATCTCATATTTGGTCTTCCTGTTTTCCTGCTGCCTTCTATTCCCAGCATTATTGGCTTTTCCAAAGAACCCTGCCTTCTCATGATGGCAGGAGATGCATTGGAACACTTGTAAAAGTCTTCCCTATTATTCTTCCAACTCTGTAGTCCTCTTACTTCTGAAGAAGGACAAAATAGGAACCATAGCATCTTACTTAGAGGAATTGATCTGTAGCCCTGTTCATGGAGTTAGACTTATGGCAGAGACAGTTGTCATGAGGTTCTGAAAAGATACTACATTAACTGAAATAACAAATTTAGGCTAAATGGAGTGAGCTCAGCTCAGCTGTCTCTGTAATTGAGTGTTGGGAGAAATTGGAGGAAATCAGATACCAACACTTGTAAAACTGAAGTACCGTGGACCCAAGAGGTCTGTCTTCATCTACCACTAGAACCCTCTCTGTGAGGAGTGTTACGCATTACTAGAGGCTCAGTACACAGAATTCGTGCACTAGGGGTAGGGGTTCCCTCAGCCCAGCCTGCTCCCTCTCACCGTCCGGGAGCCCTTGGGGGACATCCTTAGTGCTGCCGCAGAGGCAAAAGAGGTTCCCGCCACCACTGCTGTGCTCACCAGCCTTCTGGCTGAGTGGCGCTCTCCCTGTGGGAGCTCACTGACCACCAGGGGGCAGCTCCTGCATTGAGCGTCTGCCCCCTGGTGGTCAGTGAGTGTCATAGCAACCTGTTCTGCCGTTTGGTCGACTTGCATATTAACCTTTTATTATATAGGATATTGGAAAGAATCAGGATGATGCAGAAATAGGATATTTGGGGTAAGAGAGAGGCAGTTAACCTGTGAACTGAGGCACCCAGTTTTCACTTGGCTTTATCTTGTTCTCTCCTCTGGGATACTAACATAAAAGGTGGTCCTGTTGATGTGGTACTAATTTCAGTAATGACTATAGATTACCATAATTTGTAAGACAGTAAATAAAATTTATTCTTAGGGCATGGGGAATGGGAGAATGGAGTGTGGATGATAAGATCTAAGAGAGTCTTGTGGGGAGGGATACAACCATTATGGGAGGTTATTTCCATTTTTCAGGTAAAGAACTGAAATTGAGCAGTTTATTAATGTGCCCAAGGTCACACAGTAAGCAGAAGAACGGGCATGTAAAACCCTGGTAATTGGGTTCTGGAGTCAATGTTCTTGACTACTACAATTTAGGTAGTCAAGGAATATTTGCAAATGGGTGAGTATTTCTAAACACAAACAGATGAAAAGAGAAATAACTTATGACTTTTAAGTATCTATTTTCTAATGAAATTTACTTTTCTGATTTGGATCGATATGAAATTGTTGTTTTAGAGTTTTTGTTTGGCTCTGAGGAACCATAGTTCTTAAATTCAGGGAAAAATTATTTCACTTTGATAATAAGGATTGATCTTAACTTCTATCCCTTCTGATCTACATAACATCCTGATAAAGGACCTTGTCAGAAAAGGCTTGAGTTTAATTTATATAAAATTGTGGATTAGAATTAAAAAAAAATTTTTTATGAGTTTATTTGAGCCCAAACTGATGACAGTTGCTGGGAAGCAAGATCTCAAATGCTTCCTGGATTAGAATTTTTAAAGGCAAGTCTTTTGACTTGTATTCCTGATTTTTAAATGACCACCTTTGTCATAAAGAAAGAAAGGTTTTGCTATTAAGGTAGAGTATTGCTGTATTAGTCTACATAGGCTGCCACAACAAAATACCACAGACTGGGTGACTTAACAGAAATTTTTGTTCTGAGTTCGGGAAGTCTAAGATCAAGGTACCTGCTTATTGGATTCCTGGTGAGAACTCTCATCCTGGCTTTCAGATGGCAACCATCTCACTGTATGTTCATGAGACCTTTCCTGGATGCCTGTGTGAGTGTAGAGAGAGGAACTAGTGTCTCTTCCTTTTCTTATAAGAGCATTCTCTTTATTAATCCCACCCATATGACTTCTTTTAACCTTTATCACCTCACAGGTCCTATCTCCAAATATAGTCACGTTGGGGGCTTGGACTTCAACACAAGAATTTTGAAGGAACACAGTTCAGTCCATAGCAGTTGCCATTTTTGATTGATGAAAGTATTCAGCTAGTTCTAGAGTTGCAGTTTGTCATTCTGCTACTGGGTGGTGCTGCAGTATAAGATAAACAGCACTGTTTGAGAGGAGGAACCATCTGTGTTCAGTCTCAGTTGAAAATTAGATTGCTATTCCATTCTTTATAGGAGTTTATATTAATATCACATTGTTCCTTTCATTTTCACCTTATTAACATATAAGGAGAGGTTTTGTCCTAATTTTCAGCTGCCATTCATTAGACTTAGGCTGATGTCTTAAGCACCTTTTCTCTTGCTTTTAAGTTATGCTGTTCTACCATGGATGATTACCCTTCTATTAAGTTGCTAATATTTTAATTTGATTATTATAGCATTTTATTTTGGTGTATTATAATTATATTAATATTATTATTTCACTATATATTGCCATCCAGAGGTATTTTGTTAGGCTATTGCAGAATTTGACACATCCCATAAGAGCTGTGTATATGGACTGAGCTTAAAGAAGCAGGGGCAAGCAGGCTTCTCAGGGAGAAGGTTTTTTGTTTATTTGTTTTTTAAATTGATTTGAGAGAGAGAAACCAATTTTGTTGTTCCACTTACACATTCATTGATTGATTGTTGAATCTGCCCTGACCAGGAATCAAACTTACAACCATGTCATATGGGGATGATGCTCTATCTAATCAACTGAGCTTACCCGACCAGGCTCAGGGAGAAGGTTTGAATGATTGTTGATAGAAAGCTAAGGTTTGTCTTACTTAGTAATTTCCAGTTTTCTCTTTGACTTTTTGGTTCACCTTTGTTAATTGTTTTTTTCTGATCACTTTTATTCAGTGAAGTAGATTTAGGAGAAAAATGAAAAATGTTTTCTAGATATTGTTGAAAGGATATATTAGGATAACCTCACTATTTTTGTTGTGGTGAAACATTAGCTGATCTTGAGAACAGGCAAGTGGTACTTGGCGGTTCACTTGTAGTTTTAAGATTTTATATTGTTGCTTATATTTGGCAAAACAGTATGTTTTATTGTAATGAATCTGACTCTGCGATTGTATGATTTTTATCTTTGTAGAATTTATACAGAGGAACTACTGGTTGGCTTATTTTACCTCTTCCTACACTTTTAAAGGACATAGGTAGAGGATTTCATCATTTGTCTATGCTGGTGTTCTTTGGGTACCATGTTTTTAAATCTTAGTTAGGGATTTTTATCTGATATAAAAGTTAATGCATTCTATGTGCCAGGAAAATTAACTATGCATTACAGATATAGGAATCGATTTGATTCACAGAAGGCGTGATACTAAATTTTTTTGTTGTGCCCTGGCCAGTGTAGCTCAGTTGGTTGGAGTGTTGTCCCCTGCTTAAAAGGTGGTAGGCTCGATTCCTGGTCAGGGCATATACCCATGTTGTGGGTTCGATCCCGTCAGGGAATGTGAGGAAGGTAACCAATGAATAAATCAATCTCAATCTCTCTCTCTCTCTCTCTCTCTCTCTCCCCTCTCCCTCTCTCTTCTGGGAGCATGTCTGTCTGTCTGTCTCTCTCCTCTCTTTTTCCCCCTTTCCTTCTCTCCCTTTCTCTCTCCCCCCTCTCCTTCTTCCCCTCTTTTTTCCTTCCCTCTCTTTCTCTCTCTCAAATCAATATAATTTTTTTTTTCATTTGTGTCTGTACATGTGTGTTATTCAAAAATTTTCCTGGTAAATACTGCCCTGACCAGAAATTGAACCTGCAACCTTTTGGTATACGGGAGGATGCTCCAACCAGCTGAGCCACCCAGCCAGGACAATCAATATGTATTTTTCCCCACAGTTTAGCATATTTAGGAGTGTATAGAAATTGTGATAGAAATGAATTAGGTATCCTGGAGGAACTTAAATTGACAGTCACAGACTGCACATGCCTGAGAGAAGTATAGCTAGTCCCTATTGAGGAAGATAGGAAGATGTACATGAACTGATAAGGAGGGAAGAGACAAAAAGAATGGGTAGAAAGTTCCACACTCTTGCCTTGTAAGAGATTCAGGCCTGTGCACATGTTTTAATGTCTCTGTCCCACTGGTTGATGAGGAGATGCTAAATATAGAGGGAAGGGGAGAAACTCGAGCATAAAAGATCCACAGTAATTTTTAACCACTGAGAGTCCAGAGTTGTTTTGATTTTGAGGGTGAAGTGGGTAAGAACATATGTTAGGATAACCTCAGAGTAATATAATTGTTACTTGAAGGAGAACTTTAAGTCTAGAAGAGACTAATGGTTTTTTATTTTAAACAGAAGCCCAGATTTAATCAGATTAAGCATGTCTTCTTTGGTTGATGAAAAGATGAGGGTTAGATGTAACATTAATTCCTGAGATTTATGTTCTTTCAGTTCATCCTTCCCTGGCCTTTGAGGCCTTACTGAGGAAAGACAGTCTTAGAACCATTAACCTAGCTCCCTAGTTTTCAGTTCTTTTGCATTTCTATCCCCACCCCCACCCAATTGGTTGTAGCTGTACTTTTGAAATCTGTCCATTTAAATGTTAGCATTCACAATTCAATTTTCATGTTTGAAAAACAGTTTTATTTATATAAGACATTTTTAAACCTGTAGTTTGGTATACATATCTATTCATGGATCCTGTGAATAAAATCCATATGTGATCCCCAGTGATGTACTTTTCACAGATTGGGAACCACTGATATATTCTAACATTTTAAGGTTTCTGGACCCAGTTACAGTATGTATGTGGCAGTTTCTTCACTCCAGCAAGCAATTTTGGGGTACCAGCTGGGCGTCCTATAATTCAACTGAATTCTTACATGATGTTCTCAGAGATAGTAGCATCATATTCCACAGGTTAAGGGCTCAATCCCACAAGACTGCCCTCCACTTCAGATGGCAGTCACAAGTCCAGGTTGTCACTTGTGATTCTGACCAACTGGCTATAGATTGAAGGTTCCAACAATCCCTTTCTTGGGCTTGATTAATTTGCTAGAGTATCTCACAGAACTCGGAAAAACATTTTACTTACAAAGCATCAATTAATTAGAAAAGAATATAACTCAGGAATAGCGAGATGGACTAGATGCATCGGGCAAGGGATGGGGAAAGTATGAGGAGCTTCCATGCCTTCTCCTAGAGCAGCACTCTCCAAATCTCGTGATCAACAACCTTGAAGCTCTTGAACTCTGTTCTCGGGTTTTTGTGGAGGCGTTGTGACTCTGGTATAGTCTATTAAGTTATTGGCCATAGCTAATGAGCCCAGTCTCAGCCTCTCTTCCCTTTCAGGAGGGTTCCAACCCTCTACTCACTTGGTTGGTTCTCCTGGCAACCAGCCTCCATCCTTCCCAATGGGTTTAAAAATCACTTCACTAACATAACAGAAGATACCTTTGATGCTCTTATCACTTAGGAAATTCCAAGAGTTTTAGGAACTGCACCAGAAAGAAGACCAAGTAAAAATATATTTATTATTGTAAATCACAATATCACACATCTCCCTTCATTGAACAGCTGAAGAAATTTAGACTCAGCTATTAAAGAGGTTTTACCATAGTGGAACAATTCAGTAGAGGCAGAGCTAGAACTAGACCCTGGAATATTCTGACTTCTTGCCTAGTGCTTTCACGCCTTTAATTGCCTGGATATATCTGAATTTTCACCTTTGAAATAAGCAAATTTTAATAAATTGGAGGTCTGACAGCAAAAATTGAAAATCATCCAAACTTTTTATTTCCAGGTCTTTGAAGAAACTGGTTTTGATATCAAAGATTATATTTGTAAGGATGACTACATTGAACTTCGAATAAATGACCAGCTTGCTCGTTTGTACATCATTCCAGGAATTCCAAAAGACACAAAATTTAACCCGAAAACCAGAAGAGAAATTCGGGTATGGAATTGAAAGTACTTTCAGGTTGCTGAATGAAGTAGGAAATTGCTTTCAGAAACTCTGATAAACATTAACTATGTGTTTCTTGTGTTTCAGAACATTGAATGGTTCTCCATAGAAAAATTGCCCTGTCATAGAAATGATATGACCCCAAAATCCAAACTTGGTTTGGCTCCTAACAAATTTTTTATGGCTATTCCCTTTATCAGGTATGTTCATATTTCTTAAAATAAAAAAAACTAACTTTCATAATTCTGATACTCGGTTTCTTCATACAGCCAAGTTTTAAAAGTGAATTCTTAATCTTTCCATAGACCATTAAGGGACTGGCTTTCTCGAAGATTTGGAGATTCCTCAGACAGTGACAATGGCTTTTCCTCAACTAGTAGCACACCAGCTAAACCTACTGTGGAAAAATTGAGGTAAAGAAATGTATTCATAGGATTCTGACTTTCTGATACAGTTTTTAATACAGGAGCATTTTGCTTCTAAAGTTTGCAGAGGTGTTGGATTCCTTGATAGGAACTATTTTGTTCCTGTGTTTTTGAAACGTTTTTTATGAGGTGAAAGGGAAGGAGCTTCTGGCACATTTTAAAAAGTATACAAACAGAGCACCAGCTCTTGAGATAGATCGAAGAGGAGGAAAAGCGAAATCATCTCTGTGTGTGTTTTTATACTGTTACTTCTCTGTTCTCATATTCTACCTTAGAGATACTCGAGTTTCTGAAGACAGTTCGATGGAGGATATGTTGAGGTCTGTTTTTTGTGTAGAGGAGGTGAAGGATGCTGATGTATTACTTGTTCAGAAAGAACTGTGAAGACTTGGGTGGGCTTCTTTTCTTTCCCTCGTAATATAAAGAGTGACTATTACATGGTTATAAACCACAAGAACATTTTCTAGGTTGGAACTTAATATATAAATCATAATTACAGAGTAGGCTGAGTAATTTTGTTCAATAAGCAGAAATATTTGTAGTCAATTTGTGAGAACTTTGCCTTATGTTGAGAGTTGCTTTTTACATTTTCTTTAATTTAGATGTTCTGTTTTTAATCCCAGAGCTTCAAAAATTAAACAATAGAAGGAAACCACATTTACAGTGAATATTTTTTAAATACATGGAGAATATTCCATTTTAGTTGGATTTTCTGAGGACAGGAGCTTGGACTAAATGTAAATGTCATTTTTGCTTATCAGAAATTGTGATTATTATAACCAAATTATATACCACTAGATATAAGTGAAATAGTTAAAAAATGTAAAGTAGACAAGAATGCAGCCAATTTTGAAAAGATGCAAGATACTTTTAAAAAGTTATAAAATAGTGAGTGGAAAAAAATATTGACTGTTCATTTTTGGAAAATCTGTGTGAAATGACAACCATACTTTTTAGTCTTAGGATTTATGGTGTTGGAGAGTAGAATAAGGAGATAATAAACCAACTACTGTAACCACATTTCAGGTTTCTTAGGAAGGGAAGTATGTGCTTTTTAGTGTATAATCTAATGTCTGTGATAATGTATTGAAGTATCTGAATTTTGTCTAAAGAAAGAGTTGAGAGTCTAAAATTTAATTTAATTTTATTTTTAAAGATCATGGTTTATTTTTAAAATATATTTTTATTGATTTTTCAAAGAGGAAGGGAGAGAGATAGAAACATCAATGATGAGAATCATTGATCAGCTGCCTCTTGCACGCCCCCTGCTGGGGATTAAGCCCACAACCTGGGCATGTGCCCTTGACTGGAATTGAACCCAGGACCCTTCAGTCCGCAGGTCAACACTCTGTCCACTGTGCCACACCGGCTAGGGCAATATTGTAATTTTTAAGTGAGAAAGAGGAAGAATTCCAAAATATTCAGAAACAATCTTATTGTATAATACAGTTCTTTGGATTAGTGACTGTATTGTATTATACATGGGAGTGTACTATAGAACAGGATTTCTTTATTACAAACTATTGCATGAGTGCAATCTTTTATAATATAATTCTTTTGCATAAAAATTTATGACTGGATCTTTATTTAATTTGCTCAGACTTTGTCTTGGGCCTCTTTATATTTTGCTTTAGAGTATAGCTTAATTTTTCATATCCTCTTCCAACATGGATGTGGTCCATAATTGACCTTTGTAGAATCAAACTGTATACTTAAACATGCCAATAAGAATATGAGTAGTCTGTCCTATTAAGAAGAAAAGTCCACTTATATTTGTTTCAAGTAAATTTAGGCAGAATTGTTTTCACATTTTTAAATATATAACCACTCATAGGGAGGAGATGGTTTGGATAGTTCAGAAAAGTTTTGGATTAAAAATAACAGATTATTCATTCAAATACTCTTCTGCATGCTGGTGATAATAGACACAAAGCAGACTTACATTCCAATAGTGGGAGATAGACAATAAATAAGAAAGTAAAATTTGTAGTTTATAAGATACACTATTAAGGTGAGCTATATACACACTAAGAAGAGCTATAAGATAAAATTTTCTGATGTGATTTTTATTTTTTAAATCTTGGTGTAGTCGAACCAAATTCCGCCACAGTCAGCAGTTATTTCCTGAAGGTACCCCAGGTGACCAATGGGTAAAGCACAGGCAGCCACTGCAGCAAAAGCCATATAATAATCATTCTGAAATGTCTGACCTTCTAAAAGCAAAGGTGAGTGATATACATTTAAAGATTTTCATAACTTTAAGTTGGATTGTTTATTTTTGTGTGTGTGTGTTAACTTATATGAGTTCCTTATATATTTTGGATATGAACTGGTTATCAGATTTATCGTTGGCAAACATCCTCCCATTCAGTAGGTTACCTTTTTGTTTTGTTGATGGTTTCTTTAGCTGTGCAAAAACCTCTTTAGTTTGATGTAGTCCCTCCCATTTGTTTACTTTTTCTGTTGTTTTCCTTCCCTGAGGAGACATTTAAAAAAATATTAGCAAGAGTGATATGAAAGAATTTATTGCCTACTTATTTTTCTAGAAGTTTTATGGTTGGGGGGGGGTCTTATATTGAAATCTTTAATCCATTTTGAGTTTATTCTTATATATGGTGTAAGAAAGTTATCCAGTTTCTGTGACATGAGTCTGTTTGGTTTTTACAGCACTATTTATTGAAGAGAACTGTCTTTGCACCATTGTATATTTTTATCTTCTTTGTCATAGGTTAATTGATTATATAGGTGTGGGTATATAGGTGTGGGTTTATTTCTATTTCATTGATCTATGTGTCAGTTTTTAATGCCAGTATAATGCTGTTTTCATTACTACAGCCTTATAGTTTGATACTAGGTCACATGATACCTCCAACTTTGTTATCAAGATTGCTTTGGCTATTCAGGGTTTTTTGTGGTTCCATATAAATTTTTGGATTATTCTAGTTCTGTGAAAAATGCCATTGGTATTTTGATATGGATTGCTTTGAATCAATAGATTGTTACGGGTAGTAAGGATATTTTAATGATGTTAATTCTTCCTGTTCATGAGCACTGTATATGCCTCCATTTATTTCTATCTTCAATTTCTTCTATGACTTACTATTTTCTGGGCACAGGTGTTTTTACCATCTTGTTTAAATTTATTTCTGGTACTTTTTTTTTATGAATTGGGATTTTTAAAAAAATTTATTTTCCTGATAGTTTGTTATTGGTGTATAAAACTGCAACTGATTTTTTTTTGATTTTTGGATATTAATTTTGTATTCTGCTACTTTATTGAATTAATTTATCAGTTCTAATAGCATTTTAGTGGACTCTTTAGAGTTCTTTATATCATGTCATATGCAGATAATGACAATTTTACTTCTTTTCAATTTGGATGTCTTTTATTATTATTTTTTCTTGTGATTGCTGTGGCTAGGACTTTCAATATTGTGTTGAGAAGAAGTGTACTGAAAGGAGACATCCCTGTCTTGTTCCTGATCTTAAGAGAAATGCTTTTAGCTTCACCATTGAATATGATGTGAACTGTATGTTATAGATCAGGGGTGGGCAAACTTTTTGACTCGAGGGCCACAATGGTTTCTTAAACTGGACCGGAGGGCCGGAGCAAAAGCATGGATGGAGTGTTTGTGTGAACTAATATAAATTCAAAGTAAACATTACACTAATAAAAGAGAAAAATGGTAATTGGCGTACGACGCTACCCTTTTCATTGGCTAATCAGGGCAATATGCAAATTAACTGCCAACTAAGATGGCAGTTAACTGCCAACAAAGATGGCGGTTAATTTGCATATGTAGGCACAATGCAGGG